TCCCACTATCGCCTCGCGAAAAAAAAACCCCAAACTTCAGTACCGTTGCAAGCACGCGTCTCCCTCTCCCTCCCCCCCCCCCCCCCCCCCCTCCCCACCTCCCCTCTCCTGCCCCTCACCTCCCCGTCGCCCCACCACCCCTGCTTCCCACCGTACCTTCCAACACTCGAAACACTTTCCGCCTGAAGAGCCCCAATCAATGCCAAGAAGGTCACCGCCCATGACGGTCTCTACGAGTCAGGTGGGAGCTGAGACTGGTGAGTGTGGCTCGTCGTCGTCGTCGTCGTCGTCGTTGCCCGTCAGGTGCTCCCTCACCAGTCGGCACACAACTGTTCGTCACTGTGGCGTCATCCGTCCTTTTTTCGCCGCCACCACCACGAGTCGCGAACATGCGCAACAGGTGAAAGAAGCCGAAGCGGTTGAGACACACCTTTCTTCGCGTAACTCCATTGGCGTCGACGCAGTTGGCCTCTTGCAGAGCTTGTTTGATCGTTCATGCGCGCTGTGATCACCTTGCCGGCCGGCGTCGTCTCGTGGTCAGTCAGTATTTTTTGAGTTTCCTGCACACGCGCGTATGTTTGCAACGGTCTGTGCACACGTTAGCAACTAGCTGTAAGCACAATACTGTTGGCATCAATGACAACGTGCAGAAGAGCAGAGAGCGTCGCACTCTCAAGTGAGCAGAGTGACCTCTCGGCCTGCAACCGGGGGCGCGCTTGCACCTTATCACAGGTAGTCGAAAAAAACTCCCCCCCTCCTCCCCCTCACAGCTCGCACCCGTACTCATTTCAATCTATGGACGTCAAGCTATTTCACACCAAGCGCTATCAACTGCAGATTCTCGAGATTACTCTAGACATACTTGGAAGTCAATGGTAGAGATGCAGTGCATGTAGATCTGACACCGATCAGGGCTCAGCTCCTAATGGTCGCCTTCGTCGACCCGGAAAGGAGTCGCTCTCGGCCGCCGTCCAGACGCTCTCCTCTCTCTCTCTCTCCTCCCCCCCCCCCCCCTTCGACCCCTATCCACCAACCTGTCATCCTCTTCCTCCCCTCATCCTATTCGTCCATCCCCCCACCCAGCCACTAACGTACTAATCATCGTCCCTTCGATTCGGTCGGAAAGACAATCTCCTGTCTCGTGCTCCGCACCTTCGCCTCACGTGGCCCAGAGCAACCCAAGCCCGTCTGCACTCTTCACCTGTTACGTAGTGGCAACCATCACATCAGGAGAACACCACAACAATAGTATCTCCACGCATACCATTGGATTGGACGTGTAAGGTCTAGACCGTGTGTTACAAGGCACCGCGGTGTTGGCAAGGAACACGCCCTCTGTGCGGCGAGTGCGGCTTTGTGCCCGGCATAGTCCAGGTGTTCAGCCGACATCAAAATTTCCGCCCGTTTCTGCCGGAATAGCAAGCCATGGGCAACATCCTCCACGGCTATCCCAGCCAGGATGAGCTCCTCGATTCCATCCACACCTCGCGTCCTGTTCGTTCGGCCACGGTGTACGCCTTTCGCTGCATCGACAAGCGGTTCTTCCAGTACTTTCCGCCGAAGCCGCCAACAACCTCGGCGCCCGACGAGGTAACCCACGTCCCGGACATTGACGACGGATCGAGCTCCAGCGGCGATGATGACCTCCCGCCACCGCCGTATCTGCCGCTCACTGCTGCTCCACAGGGAATCGACTCGGCGTCGGATGATGACTCGCTCCTCTCGCAGAGCTCCGACTCGGACTCGGACTCTGACGCAGACTCAGAAGCCGGAACCGACCCGGCGCCGATGGCGAGTGCGCTGCCTATGGCCGGCCCGCCGTCGCTCCCGATCCAGGTTGAGCGGTCCACCTCGCTCTACGAGCTACTTCGGGCATCGTCGTCGAACGAGTCCGAGGGCTCGTACCTCGCCGAGCCGTGGTCGCAGCTCCTGCCTGGTGGTGGGCGGCTACACCACTCCGCCGTCTCCATCTACATGGACGTCGTCGACGCGCTGGAGCTCTGCCCTGGCGAGACCTTTCTTAACATCGGATCGGGATCGGGCTATCTCTCGACGGTAGCGTCAATACTACTGGGGCCGACCGGCTGCTCGCTCGGCGTCGAGCTCGACGAGGCAGCGCTCGAATGGGCCAAGGCGCGGACAGACGAGCTCTTCTCCTCGCCGTGGATCAACACGGCGCGGATGCGGCAGCCGCACTTTTTCCGCGGTGATGCGCTCTCGCTCGCATCGGACACGCTTCGATTTGATGCCATCTACGTCGGCTCGGGCATTGCCAGCGATGCCCACATCCGCGCGTTCTACGCGCTGCTCAAGCCCGGTGGCCGCCTTGTCGTCCCGTACCAGGCTAACGTCATTCGGCTTCATCACACCCCGGCTGGCGCCGAGACAACCGTCGTCACACCAGGCACCATCTTTGCGCCAGTAGTCGACGACGGATCCGAGGTCCTTCCCGACGGCACTGACCCCATGGCCGAGATCGAGACCACGCTCGCGGCGCGGATGCTGCCGTCGCTCTTTGTCCTTGCCGCCGACGCGCTGCGAAGCCAGTGGATGCTTGATGACGGCATCGTCGTGGGTGACGACCTCGCGCTCACCTACACGCCGCCGCTGGAGCGACTCCGCGCCCTCATTGGTATCGTGCCCATGGACACGCTCGAGTTTCTCAACGGTGGCGTCCCGCTCGACATCGCCACCTGCGCCTACCCGGGCTGCCTCAAGCGGTTTGCCGCCGATCCGCTCCCGACCTCTACCTCGGCCTCGTCGGCTACCCTCTCCAGCTCAGCCTCGAGCTCAGCATCGATGACGTCGTCGCTCTCGGCGCTCCGCTGCTGCTGCCTCGACCACGCTAACCGGCTCGAGGTCGAGTCGCTCTCATCCGAGTCTGGATAATCCCCCCCCCCCCCCCCCCCATACACATTACACACGCAACCATCCGCTTTACTTGGTCGTGTCCATTGAGATAGCGGCGCCGGCGTCGCCGACAGCCTGGGCCTTTGCTGCCGGGGAAAGGTCGTCAACGTGCGGCGAAGGCTCCGAGGCGCGGAACGGGCCGGCGGCAAGTAGCACGTTGCGCGGGTTGAACTTGACGTTAAAGACGGGGGTGGACTTTGTGTAAAAGGCCTTGACGAGGCCACCCGGCGGGGTGTCCTGGCGGCGCGAGGTGGAAGCGTCGAGGAAGCGCGACTCTACGTCCCAGAGGCGGATGGAGTGGTCAGCCGAGGCCGAGGCGAGGAGGACGCCGTCGTGGGCGTAGTCGAGCGACCAAACCGCGCCCTTGTGGCCGGTGTACGACTTGAGCGACTTTGCAGAGTTGATGTCCCACTCGATGACGGCGCCGTTGTGGGCGCCCGAGGCGAGCTTGGCACCATCGGGCGAAAAGGCGAGCGAGGCGACACCGTCGGTGTGTCCGGTGTAGACACGGACGCAGTTTCCCGACTGGACGTCCCAGAGGCGGACCGACTTGTCAGACGAGCCAGTGGCGACGTAGTTGGAGTTGGGATGGAAGGCGACGGTGTCGACGTCGCTGAGGTGGCCGGCAAAAATGCGCAGCGGGGTCACCATGTTGGTCGACCAGAGACGAGCCGTGGTGTCGTGCGAGGCCGTGGCAAAGTAGTGGCCGAGCGGCGAGACGGCGACGTCCCAGATCGGGAACGAGTGGCCGGAGTACACCACAAGGTTGGTCCTGGTCTCCATGGACCACAGCCGGGCCGTCCCGTCCTGCGAGGCCGAGACAAAGAACCGCGAGTCGGGCGAGAACGAGAGGCCGTAGACCGGGCCCGAGTGCCCGTGCAGGACGACCGAGTTCTCGGCAATGGGCACTAGCTCCGGGTTGAGCCCGGTCAGATGGCGGCCCTCGAGGTCCCACAGCCGGATCGACGAGTCGCCAAAGCCTGTTGCCATGAGCCCGCCGGACCGCGAGAAGCTGGCGCAGTTGAGCGTGTCGTACGTGTTGAAAAAGGTGTACATGGCGGCCGACGGCAGCGCCGTCGACGACAGCGCCATGCGCGACCGCACCTCCGCAAATGACTCGAGCTCCGAGAGCTCGGCCGTCTCCAACAGCGGAATGCGCTTGAGCTCCGGGACCGGCGGCGCGTCGCCGGTCTCGGCCGCCGACCCGTCGCCGCGTTTGCGCCGCTTGGACCGCCCGGCGCCCTCCTCGGCGGCGGCCGCAAACGAGGCGTCGAGCTCGGCCTGCGCCTCGGTAAAGAGATTAAAGACCAGCGGGCGGCCCTCGTCGTCGGTCAGGCCCTTGAGCTCTTCCGAGAACTCGGAGATGAGCGCGTGGGTTGACTCCTTGAACGACGGAAAGGTGCCCCAGTGGACTTGGTGCGCCTCGACCAGCTCGTCCATGGCCTCGACACTGAGCCCGGTGAGCGCGCCGGCGGCAAACCGCGGAACAACGCCGTCGTTCGGCTTGGCCTCGGCCACCAGCACGTTGATGCGCTCGTTGACAATGGCGAGCAGGAGCATAAAGTCGGCCTCCTGCAGGAACCGCACCAGGAGCTCAAACCCGTACGACGACAGCCGCACGTTGTACTTGTTTGTCCGGAACGTCGACGACAGTTTGTTCTGCAACACATGCTGCTTGTGCGTCACCGAGCCGAGCTGCGCCAGGTCGGCCGAGTGCGCCGCCGCATGTTCCGGCGAGAATCGCGCCAGGAACGTCTTGGCTTCCTCCGCATGCTCCTTGGACACCAGGTCGAGGTAGCAATGGACAAAGACAGGGAAGAGGATCGCCGACAGTTCATCCTGTCCACCAATGCCACCACAGCCATGCCGAGCACCATGCCCATCCCCGACACGACCGCCATGGCAGCCCACCCGGGACCATCGACGACAACCACCAAATGCAGAAAAAGGCCGTCAGACGACGACAAGCACCGCCACCGGCACCCCGACAACCCCCCCCCCCAGCACCCACCACCACCACAGCACACATTCCAATCACATACCCACATTCAACACATCCACATCCATGTCATAAGTAAGTATGAGCTCCATAGTAGTGCCAATGCCTGCGCTTGGCGGGGTAGAAACAGGCGACGGGGCGATCGGGCCTGGGCGATCGCGATCATGATCACGATGGTGATCACGATCACAAGGGGGGAGGGCAGGGGGGGGGGGGGGGGTGGAGGGGGACAGAGAGAGTACGTACACGGTAGGCCTCGAGCGAGGTGGTAATCCAGTCCTTGAGGCGAGCATATGACTCGAGGTATGCCTGTGGGCCCTCCTTGGGGTTGTGGAAGAGGATGTAGTTTGCTACGTTTGTGTCGACGGCCGAGTAGGCACGAAAGGCAAGGTCGTCCAGCGACTCGACCCTCCCCTCATGGTTAAGCGCAGCCTCGGCACGCTCATACTGTTTCCGCTTGAGGTATGCAAGCACAATGGCGTCAGTGTCCATGTCGGGCAGACAACTGGGACACTGCCACAGAGAGAAAGAGAGGTGGTTGTGGCAGTGGCACTGTTGGTGCTGGTTGCTGCTCGCCCCGCAATTGGGTGCCACCGACCAATCGGGCCTCGCCGTCTCGGCATCGTCGCCGCCCGCCTGCTCGCCCGCCCGCTTGGCCCGACCGCTGGCCCATCGATCAGCACTGCCTGGCTGCCCTGCCAACGAGCCGACCAATGGATGACATCATCCAATCGCGCGTCCCCTTCCCCTCCCTGCTAGCATCATGTTTGCCGAAATCATGTCTGTTTTATCGTCATCCATCTACGTCACACACACACGATACAGCTGCGACGGCAAAGCGGTCTCGAACCGTTCGACAACGCCGAGGCCGGTGGTGACGGGCACGATTAGGCCCAGCCACCGCAGCCGCTCGCAGAGCAGACTGGCATGGCTACTGTCAGAAACGACGTGGTTGTCAGACAGCCACGTCATGAGTTGACTACCCGAAAACGCAGCCTTGATTGCCTGCCCCCGGATGCGCCGCGTCTGCGCGAGATTCTTTCCTGCTGCCACGGCAAGCTCGCAGCACTTGACGAGATCCCACTCGCCGAAAGTGGGAACATGCGGCGATGGCAGAGCAGCAGTGGCCGCCATCATGTTGGCCCGCGAAAGCCCGCCATCTGTATCAACCCAGTCGACCACATAGCCTATGGAGGCCTCGCCGAGCATCGAAACGGTAAACTCGTGCTCATCCTGCAGCATGTCGCTGCCGGTGACGTCGTCATTCGCCAAGTCGAGCTTGAGCCAGGACGCGATGAGTGTGACGGCCTTGATGCCAATCTGCATCACCATCGGCAGTGCCGCTACCCCGTCCAGCGCCATTGACGACGCGCTCATGGCGTGCACGTCCGCCATCAGCTTGGCCGCACACTCGAGCCGGCTCATCTTGTCCGAAAAGCCTGCCATGGCTTTGAAGGCCAGTGTCTTCACCCGTGGGACGGATGCGGGATCGATTGCCACCAGCTCTGGCCGCGTGAGTAGGACATCGCGAAAGGCGGCCATAGCCATGAGGAGAAAGCCTTCGGCAAGGATGACCGTCTCGTCGCCTTCCATCATGATCGAGCTGAGGATCTGATCAAACGCATTGACGTCGTTGGAGAGGAGCGCCATGATGGCCATTGTCCGCAGAGCTGCCAGTGAACCCGGCGATGACTTGCCCGACGAGTAGATCTGGAGGCAGAGGACGTGCGCCTTGCTCCACTCTCCGGCCTGCAGCAGCATCCACGCCCGTGCGTTCAGCAGCCGCACCGTCTTCACCTGCAGCACCGCGCTCCACGGCGTCGAGCTGTCGATCCACGCAAACTGCCGCTTCGCCCGCGCCACGAGTCCGATGTCCACCAGCGTCACGCCCAGCTCATGCTGCGCCTCGGCTGCGGCCGTCGCGTTGCAGCCCTTGCGCGACGCACTGAGGGCCTTGACAAACCATCCGACCGCGGCCTTGGGCCGCGCGCGCGTCAAAAGCAGCCGTCCCGTCGCCATGGAGATTGCAGCCTCGCCTGCCAGCTGTTGGCCTTGCGACGGCCCGCCCTCGCAGGTTGCAGCCAGCGCGCCCTTGACTACCATATCGCGCGCAGTGCGGAGGTCTCCGCGCGCAACTGCCATGTTGGTCTTGAGAGCCCACACCTCGAGATCGTTGCCGTGGCCCTCGGCGAGGTGCTTGCTCAGCAGGACGCAGATGTCGGACAGCACCTCGCCGCGCGTAGATCCAACACGCTGCATGCCGATGTGTGAGGCTGTGGTTTGGTCGCGTACGAGCGCGGCGTTGAGCACCGCGCGTGCATAAGCCATGAGCAGACTCCACCGCGCTTCGGCACCAACGCGCGTCACTTCCGACGGCGGCAGGCGATCGCTGATGACGGTGGTGTCCGGCGCCATGTGCCCAAGCTCCTCGCCGGGGGTAAAGAGGCGCTTGATAAGCCGCGTCTCCACCGGCGGAAGCTCGGCGTTGGGACCGTCGCGGTGGAGTTCGCGGCGCGCGTCCGACCGCGCGATGGCACCGAGCACCTGGCGATAGTCCGCCAGCGGCAGCTCGAGTTGCTGGTCCACAATGAGCGAGACACAGCCCTTGACGATGAGGTGCATGTCGCCGGCCCGGCGCGCAAACGGCAGGAAGCTGGCTGGGTGCGAGTCGACCGGATGGTCAGAGGCGGCGAGCGTCCGGCCGACGTGGAAGGCGTAAAACTCGGCATCGCCGACCGGGAGTGTTGCAAGGATGGCGTGCCGCTCGGCGGCACGCACAAACTGAAACGACTCCTTGCCCGACAGCGGATCCGTGATCGTCTTGAGGACGTCGTGCACCTGCGCGAGGCCGTATAGTTCGGTCACTGAGCACAGTTCCGAGTTTGCAAAGGCCAAGACCAATTGCGGCGACGCAAGGCTCGGATCGGACTGCGCCCGCATGTACGCGTCCTTGAGGAGGGTGAGCGAGCCAGCGCGACCGATGACTGCTGCAAACTCGATGAGTGCCACAAGCGGGAGATGCAGGTGCGCGGAGCCGGAAAGGGTGAGATCGTCAAGCACCCGGCCGAACATCATCAGCCGGAGCTCTTGCACACAATCATCGGATGAGCAGTGCCGCAGTGCTCGCATGCCAAGCAGGATGTGAACTGAGCTGTTTGGGCCGGAGCTTGTGTCGAGCTTCCCGCCCAAGTTCTCGCTCTCGTGCCAGTCTGACACTGCCGAGTCATTCCAGATCGAGCTGTCTTGGCCAATGTTTCCAAGAATGTTGACCTGAAGGTTGGCGCTCGAGCCTGATGATATCGGCTGTTTCGACATAGGCTTGGGTGCCACTTTGCGGTTGCTTCTTCCGCCCTTTGGTCCCGATCCTGTTGCGTTGACGACGTACGGTGCCGGGCGGGCGACGTAGGGGTGCGGCGGGAGACATGCCGATGATGGAACGTGGCTTGGCTGGGCGAAGCGGTGCCCGCTCGCAGCCGTAATGTCCAGCCCAGGCGAGTTACAGTTGGCAAAGTCAAAGCCGAGGAGGCAGAGGCCGGTGGACGGCAGGTTGGTCTGCCTCTGGACTTCCAATCTGGCGATCGACGCGTCGAGCTCAGCATCAGCCCGCTCCGAGACAGGTACGGTCGCGCATCCGTCGCGCGCCATGCGGTGATGGTGGGTGGCCATGCACACGGTGCACGGCACTGCCCTACTCGAGTTGAGGACCGAGACGTCCATAGCCATGCCGGCAAACGAGACAGTGGGGCGATGTGGCGCGGTCATGAGCCGGATGGCATCGTACTGGGCCACTGCGGGAAGGTCGTCAAAGACGAGCGCCGACCGCTGAGCGAGCGCGGGTGAGATCGTCTTGAGCGTCCCGCCCGAGACCCACTTGTGCATCAATGGATCGAGGACAAGACCCGAGTGGCTCTTGGCAGCCTCGGTCACAATGACGACGGGAAGATCTGGCGAGGTGAGAAGGAGACCTCGCAGAACGGCGTGAGTGGCCGGATCGACAGCCCAGTACTTTTCGACCATAAAAACCAGGGCAGCGTTGTCGTTCTGGCGCGTCAAGTGCGAGACAAGCGTCCGCAGCGTGTTGACGAGGATCATGACGACGCCGTTGGGCGTGGTCGACGACAGCCGCCCCGCTCCACCCCAAATCAAGTTGGTAGGAATCTTGGGCGACATCTTGTCCTTGCCAGGCATAGGAGACTGCCATGGTGGCGGTAGCGCCAAGGCACGGGCGAGAATCGACTTGCGCGACGAGCTCAGCGCCAGAGGACCAGCGATGAGATCCGATAGAACCTGCAAGCTGGTAGCTGGAAGCTGGGTGGCCAGAGCAAGCTCGCGGAGCTTGGTAATGGCGTAGGCAGCAGGGACCTGCGAGCGCGGGCAGAGCGGCGATGGCGCGAAAAAGCCGCGAAGCATGTCCGAGAGAATGTGGGGAAAGGTGGGGTACGCCACATACGCTTCGTCGATGGCGTCGATGTTGACGCGGGTGTGGAAGAAATGCAGGTCGGCATCGTGCGAGAGCTGTCGCCGCATGTGAAGAAAGGTCTGGGCATGGGCGGCCTCGTCCTCGAGGTTGGGCGCGGTGCCTATGGTGAGCGCGACGGCGTGGTTTTCGCGCGCGCCGCGCAGCGCAAGCTCAATGTAAACCGAGGCCACCGACGACTCGAAGCCCGATGCCTCGGTCCAGAGCGCAGCCTGTTCCATGTGCGGCCCGGGCACTGAGGTCTGCTGGACTGCAGCAAAGGCGGCATCGGCAGCATCATACTCGGCAACGACGTAGGCGGCATAGCCGCCGTACTCTGCAAGTCGGACAGGCGAGAGGAGCAGCGACTCGAGGCCCATGGCGTAGACATGCGGAGCGGTCCGACCAAGCGTTGCCCACGACAGCGACGTCGCCAATCGCTCGATGACACCGGTGTACCGCAGTGGAAGCGATGCGAGGGCAAGGCCAGCGGCAGCACCCAGTGAAGCACCAAAGATAGCTACTGCCAACGGGCTCATCAGGCTTGAGCTGAATTGCCAGGTCCAAAACGAAACAACAACCGCAAGCCAGACCGACGCAATGACGATGCGGGCGGCCGAGATTCGAGAAGCGTTGCGCGATGACGAGAGCATGATGAGCTCGCGGAGCACAACGGCGGAGAGGAGCATGGTGGCGGCAGCGGCAGTGAGGAAAATGATGACGGCGAGTGCGGGGAGGTGCGGAGCAGTGGCAGCGGCAACAACAGCGATCAGCTTGGAAGTCATGGCGACCGTGGCGCCAGGAATATGCCACCGCAGCGCAGCCTCGGATTCCATCTGCAAAGCTGCAGTGGCTGAGTTGAGAGAGGTAAAGAAGGCGAGGACGACGAGGATAGCGGCCGGCAGAGTGAGCGCCATGTTGGAGAGAAGCGCAAGGAGGCAGGGCACAAGGAGTGGGCCCGAGAGAAGCTCGATCATGCCCGACGCCACCGTCCGCATCGTGGGGGAGATCGTGATGGCACCGCGGCCGATGCGAATGGCAATGACGACGACAGCGACGGTGGCGATTGTCACGCCAATGCACGCGACAACTGCTTGGTGCCAATGCGTCCGCGCAGTGAGCACACCGAGCGAGAGCGCATTGACGGTGTGAAAGGTGCCCGGAGCAGAGGGCTCAGCGGCAAAGACAACCAAGGTGAGGGTAATGAACTGGATGAGCTCGGTGCACACAGAAGCCATAGTTAGGCAGGCAGCGATGCCAGGCGGGCGCGATGGCCTGTCGACAAGAGCGAGGATGGTGCCGAAAACGGCGCGATTGAGGCCAGGTGCGGCGGCACGCGGCTGTCTCCGGCGTGGAAGCAGGTCGGACGTCTCGGCTAACATCGACGACGAAGTTGTAGAGACGGAGTTCAGGGTAAAGTTCTCGCTGGTGGTTGGCTGCAGGGTCGAGTGTACCGAGGTCGACCAGAGCGTGCCCATCATAGTCGATGAAGTGACAGTGCCGTTTGATGCCAATCCGACGCCCGAGCCAGCGGACATGGCTGAGGCCGAGGGAAACATCGTTGGCCTGCGGGTGCGGCGTGGGCGCGAGGTGAGCGGCAGGGCCTTTTCAGTGGACGATGATGTTGATGACGGCGATGCCGTCGACGACGAGTCCGACGAGTACGAGGAGTACGTGGAGGCAGTCGTGGCGGTCGAGGCGGTCGAGGAGGTCGAGGCGGTCGAAGACGATGATGACCGCGTCCGTGACGAGTGGCGTGAAGAGAGCTGCGGGGTCAAGGATGGTGACGACGATGACGAGGTCATCGACGATGACAGTACGGCTCTTGCAGGATGTGGGGAAAAGTCGGTGATGGTTGTGACTTGGGCGGTTGTGGCTGGGTCATCCTTGTCAAGAACAGGCAGAGTCGCGTTTTGACGCGAGATGTCCGGCAGAGCAAAGCTGACGCAAGGCCGCGTGCTCTCACCCTTGGCCTTGTTGCACTGGGAGGGCATTCCTGCAAACCTGTAGATGAGGTGTGGTGTGGAGTGAGGTTTGGGTGCGCGTCTGATTTGACGTGCGGGCGCAGGCCAAAAAATACTCCCGGTCGGATGTCGATCGTGACACGCAAACGTTGCAAGATACCGACAGTGTCAACAATACGCCGCACCGCCTTGCTGACGATACTGGCCAAGTTGGGTAATCGGGAGAACGGTATGAGGGCAAAAGGGGAAGAGGAGAGGCGGCGGGAGGTTAATGGTAGCCAGGGTAGGCTTGCCGGTGGTACCGTGGGAGTTGTGAAGAGTTCTTGGGGTTGATAACCAGGATGGGTCGGCTGGGTAATTGGTTACGCACGGTGTATCGCAGCTTGAGTTCGAAGGAAGGCTTGCACAAAGGAGGGGAGCAGGAGAAGAATTTGCCACGTACAGGTAAGGCACGTTTAGGCTTGGCTGAGCTCAAGACAGGCAGCGTGTTCTGGGGATGTCGCCCAAGCTTTCCCACGAGTTGCGCTGACGAGGCGAGTGAGGCGAGAGGGATGTGCGACATTTGGACTGGCTTGGCTGTGACAGCAGGGATTCAACTTGAACTTTTGGGATAGATATTCGTAAGTTGGCTCGTTCTCGCGACTCGCTTGCAACCGAAATGCGGCTTAATGACCATTGATGCGGAGAAAGGATGATGCCATACGTGTGTAGTGTTTTAGTGAGGCCAAGTGCAGCTAGCGGCAAGGTATGCAGCGCCTGCATCTGTCTGGATGTCTTGACTGCCACGGGGTTGCGGCAAGCTCGCGCTACCTTTCCTATGGTCGTGACAGTTAAGGTGTGTTGGATAAGTTGACTCACAGCTGCCTTGTCGTCTAATTGAGATATATTCGCCGCTGCGAGGTAGAGCGGATGTTGAGCCATCCGAAACAGACCACCCCTACTCGCAGCGAGCTCAACCATGTAGTCGCTGGGTGTTGGTGGTGGGCTGTTTCCCATCAGCTCAAGGTGTGATGCTGGGATACAATCTACGGGGTGAGAGGCGACCGACCTGTCGGTCACAGAGGGTTCAGTCCGTCCCAGATCCGAGCGACGATCTGGGCCCACCCGCGTATGTACGTAGATCAGACCAACATCTCCCCACTATGGGTATCCATTGTAGCCATGATGGTGCTGATGACAAGTGCAAAGGCAGGGCATGGCAGAGCATGTTTTGCTGTGAGAAAAATAGTCCCCGCTACTGGGGGCGGCAGTGCGTGAATGAGTCATGATGACGGCAGTGACGACTTGAGTAGCCTGAGCTCTGAAGGGGGGACGAAGCGTAAGCATTCTGCAAGCTGAGAGCCACACCTCACTCTGTCACACACACGTACTATACTCAAAGTTGTTTTTGTTTGCACTACCTACTTTCCAACCTACAAAACCGTCTCGCTTCATCCATGCATCGTCGTCTGTTTACCTCGCTGGCTCACCGGGCTCCGGCGGCTGCTCAGTCTTCCGCCGCTGCTCACATTGTGGTACGTTGTCACATGCCTTGCTCATGATCATAGGTCATGGATAATGGTCTTGGCCATGGATAGTGATTATGGCCATAGCTGTGGTCATGGTCGTGGTCATGGTCATGGTTGTGGTCATGACCATGATTGTCAGCATCATCATCGTGATCAGGCTTTGGTCGCGGCTGTCCACTCGGGGGGGGGGGGGGGGGGGGGGGGGCACGGCGGTGGTAGTCATGGCCTTGACCATGATTTGGGTCATGATAGTCTTGATTGCTGCGACTGTGGCCATCTTGGTCCTGGGCGTGCGATGCGCGTGACCTGAGGCTGTGTGGCTGGCGAGCATGACGCGTCGATGTGGACGACGAGACGGCGCAGGTGTGCCTCGTGGACATGACGTGGAGGGCGGGAAGACAGGGAGGCGCAGGGAGGCAGGGACTCATGATCGGATAGCGCGGAGCTAAGGAGTATGGGGCGATTGGACAGATGCCCGGGCTTGTGGTAGGGTTTGCACTGGGGATGGGGACGGCGTACGCGATGCAGTCTGCGCAGCTGGAGACGGTGCAGGCGCAGCTTGACAAGGAGCAGGACAAGACGATGCTGAAGCCTGTTGCGCTGCCTGAGCTTCCGCCGGGTGCAGGAGCGCCGCCGCCGCCGCCGCCGCCGCCACCGATCTCGATTCTTGACAGCGACTCGCCGCCGATCGAGGTGCCGACGAGCTCGCCGCCGGGGGGCATCCAGCCTAGCGCGTAGCCGGGGAAGAGCACTGGTAGGCGCGGTGGTAGGGCCAGTGGCGGCTCTGGCATGCGGTTGAGCAGTAGTAGGCGTTGAGGCAGGCGCCGCAAGTTTGCGGCTCGAGGAGGACGACGCCACAGACGGCGCACTGCGGAAGGTGGATGCCGATGGCCTGAGTGGCGGCTGTGGTGAGGAGCTTGCCGACGGGCGAGGCGCGCATGGCGTGGCGCGGTGGCGGGAAGAGGGCACCGGGGCCGCTGCCCGAGGCGATGGAGGCGAGAGCGAGCTCGTCGCTGCGCGAGGCGGCGTTGTAGCGCTTGCGGCCCTTGGCACGCTTGCGCTGGCGCGTTTGGGCGGTGGTGTTGTGGCTCTCGGTGTGAGCGGCGCAGGCGCCGTGGGCGGCGCGGGCGTCGGCGACGAGGCTCGCGGGCGCGCCGCCAAAGTAGACCGCCAGTTTGGCGTCCGAGTAGAGCGAGAGATTGACGTCCCAGAGCGAGGAGATAAAGTAGCCCATGGCGTGGCCGATGCCTGCGCGGAGGGCGAGCATGTCTTCGGGCGCGAGAGTGGCTTCGATGTCCGGACCGATGGAGCCGTCGGGTGCAGAGAAGAGCGGGCGGGCGCGGCCCGGGGCGAGCGGGTGGGCGGCCGAGTCAATGGCACCGACGCGGGACTCGAGGCCAAAGACGGCCGACCACCGCGGGTGGGCCGATGACACAAACGGCGAGGCGACGAGCGCGGCGAGGCTGCCTGAGTCGAGGACGGCGATGCGGACAAACTCACCGAGCTGGACAACATCGCGGACGTGCGCAGACCACGAGGGTAAGCCGGGCGGGTCAAAGGCCGAGCCAAAGTGCATGTCGACCAGCTCAAAGACGCCTTTGCCTGCAACGGTAGCGAGGGCCGAGGCCGACGACGCGCCGACCACAAACGGGCGCGACCAGCGGAAGCGAGCCCAGGCGGCGACCTCGGGCTCGTTGGCGATCTTGAACCAGGAGGAGAGCGGCGAGGAGGCGAGGAGTTCGGCGCGATGGAGGTCAAAGGCCGAGACGGTGCCTGGCGGTGGGTTCGGGTCGGAGCTCGCCATGGCTGGCTGCATCGGGTGGACAAAGATGGTCTCGATGCCGACACCGTTGGCGCAGGGGCGGACAAAGTTGTCATGAATGACCAGGCCGCCGAGGGCGAGGCCTGAGTGCGGCTCAAAAGCGAGGTCGACGAGGTAGACCTTGGGGGTGTCGGCGTCCTCGGGCGCGGCCTCGGGGAACATGCTCGGCCGCCAGAGGCGGGTCTCGATGAGCGGCGCCTTGAGAGGACCGAGGTGGACGCTCGCGCCTGCGGTCCGCGGGTGGACCTGCCACAGGACGTACTGGCCCGAACCGTCTTCGCCCCAGGTGGCGTAGTCAGCGGTGCCGGCGTCGGGCCCGGCAGCGTTGACGGCGATGCGGGTGGCGCGGAAGACGCCACCAGTGGCGTCGTGGGCCGGGCCAAAGGTGGCCAGCGGGCCGGCGAGGCCGAGCTGCCGTGCCGCGAGCGAGGTCGGAAGCCCGGCGTGGGCGAGCGAGTAGACAAGGAGCGTGCCCGGCGCGGCCCGCGGGAGCAGCGTCAGGTGGCGCGAGTCGGGCGAAAAGGCGGCATCGAAAAACGGTGCCGCAAGCTCTGAGACCACGTGCCGGAGCTGTGGCGCGTTGCCAGGCACCAGCTCGTAGACCGAAAAGGCGAGGGCGAGCGGTGAGCTTGTCCGCGGCAGCGAGGCCTTGCGCGACGACGACTCGCCTTCGACATCGTTGTCGGTGGCGACAGCCTCGGGCGGCGATGAGGCCGAGCGCGAGCGGGCCGCCGCGGTCGGGTCCTTTTGTGGCGTTGTCGGCGCTGAGCCGCCGTTGGAACGTGCTGCTGCCGTGCTCAACGGTGACGGCGCGTCTGGCGGCGGGGCGCCAAAGACCAGCAGCAGCTTGCGGTCTGGTGAGAGCGAGAGACGCGGGTAGACGCCGTCAGGCACGGCCGGCAGCGAGGCAATAGTGTACAGGTCGTGATGCGAGTCCAGGCCAGCAAGCGGGAGGTAGTGCACGGCATACTCCTCGGCCTCTGACTCCCATCGAGATGGGGAAGCAGCGGCGGATGCATCACGTGCCGAAGCCGGATCGGCAGGAGAAGCTGGCGAGTTGGAAGCAGCAGAAGGGGCAGGAGCTGATGCGAGCGTAGATCCAGGCAAGCTCGGCACGTTGTACTTGTCGCTCGAGGCAGTGATGGCACCGTAAGCCATCGGATCAACCATCCAAGCAGGAAGACCATCGACCAGAACCGAACGAGGTGAAGACGAGCCACTGCTCTCATTCACCGACTTGGTCGACGTGGCCGACTTGTCCGGCTTGGCCGACTTGGCCGACTTGGCCGACTTGGCCGACTTGGCCGACTTGGCTGCGTTCGACTTGCCCTTGCCCTTGTTCTTGCCCTTGCCCTTGTCATGGGCATGATGTGACTTTGACTGTGATTGGTGTTGGTGTTGGTGTTGTGTGTGGTCCACACCCATGTCCATACCGGTGGTGGCGTTGGAGGTGTTGGTGTTGGTGGTGGTGGTGGTGGTGGGAGGAGGAGGAGGGCGAGCAAGCGGAGCGTCCAGCGGAGCAAGGAGAACGTCCCCATTAGCAAAGATGGTAAGAATAGCACCAGCAGAGTTACTCCCCCATTGGGGAAGGTGTTCGTGGAGGAGTACTTCCCCTCGTTCGCTCATACTCCCCTTTTTTTCCTCTCTGCACAAGGTGGTAGTTGAGTGTGGGTGAGGTGAAGGGGTGGGAGAGGAGGTGGAGGAGGTGGAGGAGGGAGGGAGGGGGGGTGGGGTGGCTGGGATCGATTTGGTTTTTTGGGGGGAGTGATGGGGATGGGGGAGACGGGGATGGGTGTGGGGATGGGTGTGGGGATGGTGGGAGATGGGGATGGGTGTGGGGATGGTGGGAGATGGGGATGGGGGGGGGGGTGGATGGGGGTGATGGGGGTGATGGGGTGATGGGGGTGATGGGGGTGATGGGGGTGATGGGGATATAGTGGATGGGTAGGGAGAAGGGTGAGGGTATGGATGGCTATAAGGGTGTGCCAGGGGCTTCGATTGGCTTGGGATGGGCTCCGTGGTGATGGCGGTGAGGGGACACAGTCAGCGACCACTTGACGGCGCTTTGGAGAGTGGCCAGTCCGTGGCCCGTCTCACCATTCACATCTCTCTCTTGCTCTCCAAGTAGTGCATCCTACGTGTGTGTGTGTGTGTGTCGGCGTCTGTGTGTGTATCGGTTTCTGTCTGTGTTTCTGCTTCTGCTGCTACTGCTGCTGCTGCTGCTGCTGCTGCTGGGTGGTTTCTCCACGGGTGGGCGGAGCCAACGGTTGACAACGTAGACAACGTCGACAACGGCGCGGCATTGGCGCCATGGCGAGCAGTCATACGGCGGCTGATGGGCGATGGGATGGACGCGGTGGTGGCGATGGACAATGGAGTGGTGATGGGGGCGGTGTTGGTGGCGATGGTGGTGGTGGTAACAAGGTCGACGAGGTCGATGCCGGGCTTGAACGAGGTGATGACCCGCAGGCAGGCGCCGAAGAGGAGGAGCCTGTGACGCCACCACCACCGGCGTATGAGCGACCGGCGCTTGCGCTGCCACATTCAACATGGGTCGAGCTGAGACTGAGGCTGGTCTTCCCGCAGGGCATTGTGTGGACCAAGCGGGTGAATCTGGCGGCGACAGTGGCGGAGATCAAGCGGTTCCTGGTGCGGAAGCACGGCAACTCGGTCCGGAACATCGCGCTGTACAACGGCGAGCGGGCACCAGAGAACGAGCTTTGCGACGATGCGGCATCACTGTATGGTGCTGGCGTTGCGGTATCGTCGGCGGTGGGCGCCCGCAACAACGCGACCGTCGACGCGCCGGCTGCCGACAAGCTCGCTGTCTTTGCCGCCTACGAGACAGCAGTGGCAGAGGCTGTGGCGTTCTCGGGCAAGACCGGCAAGAAGGGCCGCCGAAAGGGCAAGCGGGGCAAGAAAAAAGGCGCTGCCAAGGGCGCTGCCTCGCCAGCAAGCATGGCATCGCCCGACCCGGTTCAGCTCACGCACCGCCTACCGACTGCCCCATCGCCCGGTGACGCGCTGCCAGCGGTGGACCTCTGGTACGACTTTGACATTCCGCGCCAGCACTGTGCGCTTGTGCGGCGGCCTCCGGATCTCTCGGTGTATAATCTGGCGTCTGCAGCGCAGAAACCCGTCGAATCCGCCGCAGCCCGCTCCTCGCTCCTGGGCAGCACCCGATCGCGCCTCCTCCGCCCGCGATCCGGCCCCATGACAGCCGAGACCGGCCCAAAGGCTATCGGGACCGATCCCAAGGTAGCCGGCTCCGGCTCCAGAACAGCCGGGAGCAGAGGCTCGCCGCTTCTCACTTCATAGTCTGTCCGAATCTCTACCTTGTGCTCCACGCACGGGCACAAAGGGCTGAATTACTGGCCGCCATGGACGCTGGCCTGAGCGTCGATTGCCCAGTCGCCGAGTGCGGCGTGTGAGCGAGGTTCAGATGCCCTCAGCGGCAACCAACGTCGACGCCACAAAGTTACCGAACGACTTGCGCGCGAGCTGTAGCGAGGCGGCCAGTACCCGTAGCTCAGCATAGGTGTGCTGAGCACCTCCGAAGACCGACTGCATCCGCCTATGGCGAGAGTCAAACGAGCTGTTGTGATCGCTACGTGTCGCGATTCTCCATGCTAATCGGTACTGTAGGTGCTGGCCGCATCGTGCCTTTGGCACGCCCAATCAACATAAACACGAGCGCCCGTCGTGTGCTTGCATACAGGCTGATCGGAAAGATAAAAGGGCACCGCTCGGGTGCCCGTCGTTGTCGCCAAACATCATCGCCATTGGTGGAAGGCCGTAGGTGGGGTTGACGCTCCTCCGCAGCCGGCCGTGTCGACGCCATTGGTGATGTGCAGCACATAGTCGAGCACTTTAATCATATCAAACACATCCCCCCTCCCCCACGCCTACCATCTCGCCAGATACATTATCTGCACTCGACCTTAGTTCTGGCCCTGCCGCTCTCCGATCGCCTCCCTTCGCCTCCCCTCCCTCCCCCCTTTTCCTCCCTCCATCACCCCCTTCCCAACAACAGCTGACAGACGACCAACAGCCGCCCCCCCCCCCTCCCTCCCCCCTCCTCCAAACAGACGCAGTACCACTCAACTATGCAACGGCAGGCGGAGACGCTGCGGACAAGCGGAGACGGCAGCGGACTGGCTCGGCTTGTTGCCGGGTATGAGGCCAAGCCAAGGGGAGGGCCAGCCGTGCGGACAAGCCTGGTGGTGGCCAAGGCCGAGCTAGCTCTGGAGGGAGGCATTCCAGGCTACTACCCGGACCC